CAATGGCCAATGACCAATGACCAATGACCAATGACCAATGACCAATGACCAATGACCAATGACCAATGATCAATGATCAATCACCAATGGACAATGACCAACGACTAATAAATAATGACTAATAAAAAATGATCAATGGCCAATGACCAATGACTAGCGACTGTAACACCTTAAAACAATAACACCAAAAAAACAATGATAATTACAACGACAATGCCTTATAGCAATGATATTATCCAACTGCACTAGCCAATGAAAATAACCAATGATAGTAATAATGACAATAACAATGGCAGTAGCCGTTGACACACAACTACCATTGACAATAGCAATGACAATGACAGTAATATTTGTTATATGAAAACATATAAATTTTTTTTATTGAACATTAAGCAGCTAGCATCGTGGACTAGCTGATAACTAGAATTTAATACAAATGGTGCTTGGTCCTCTCATATAAGCCAATGATAACGCAAATGTTGATCAAAGTGATTAGAGCAATTAGCACAATGTGTACAATCTTACTGGTCTTCCGGTTAAAATATTTATCGATATAGTTGTAGGACTGCTCCTCAAGCGACGGCTGCAAGTAGTGCAAAGTAGTCACCATCCTTTGACTCCACAACAGAACCAGTTTGCTATCGGTCTGTGTCGATACAGAGACCATATTTTTGAGACGCTTTTTCTGTTGAGTGAAGTATTAAGTAATGATCACATTAGTTGGGTCAGGCATCGTGCAGACGCCTAGGCATTACTTACGGCCAATTGAATGCGTCTGGCCCGATCCTTTAAGTCCTGGTGGAACAATTGTAGCGATACGAATCCAGTTGGACGTTTAGCCAAAGGCACGCCCAATCTGGTTATTTTAAGACGTGGCAACTTCACGTACCCATAATTCGCACGTGTACAAACTTTAGCTTCGATTAACCTCTCGTTACCTGTATTCATYTTGCAATCTTTTGTTTGCTATATTTTAGTACATTAAGATAAAATTATATGCGTTTTTGAAAAAAAAAAAAAAAAATTTACTTTTGCTATTTTGCGTTTTGAAAAAATTTACTTTTTTGGTTTTTACTTTTCGGAAAAATTTATATTTTGATATGTTTAGGGCTTGAGACCTATATTTATACTGCCTACATTTTCGTCACTACAGCACTAAGGTGGGTCGGGAGCTGGAAATACATCTCAAGGCTAATTAGATGCTGAAAAAATGAGCTCATGATGAACTCATGATATCTAGTGTAAGGAAAACTAGAGGACTAAAAACACTAAGGAGAGTCGAAAGCTTGTTTCATAAAATATACAAATTTTCAATGAAAAAAGAAAATCATAATAATAATAATAATGACTGCAGAATACTCATTCAAGGCAGAATCCTCATTCAAGGCCCAAATGCGAACTGATCCATTTGCCAATTTGCCACGCCCCCAATTGATATATATGTATATTATTTTGAGGATAAAGTTGCATATTTATGCAAAAAAACCAATATACTATTTCGCTTTCGTGAATGAGTATAATCATAAAAAGAAGTCAGCGATAAAAATTATTATGATTCGTATATGGGAAGTCAAAGGATATGATTTTTGTGAAATTGATAGGAATAAACGAATTTGCAGTTTGATTTCAAGCAATGCAATAAGTCTTTGCTTTGCAAATTTGCAGTTAAATTGAATCATTGCATGCGTGTAAGAGTGTGTGTGTGTGTGTGTTAGAGTAGAGTTGTCGCTGGGGCGCAGCTGGCAACCCTCAGCTTCTGCAGCTCGAATTTCATTTGGCTGCCAAGTGGAAAATGGGCTAAATTTGCTGTGCGAAAACTGAAAGAAAATAGATTTACAGCACACAGGCAGAGTCCCACACACACACACACACACACACACACACACATACAGAAAGACAGAGGAAAAGAAACAGAGAGAGAGATAGAGAGGAAAAAAGAGAGACACTCAAATGAATTGAAATGCAATTGAAATATTGCAAATGGCATTTCTTGCAAGTTGCAAGTTGCAAGTCGCTGCGAGGCACTTCGGAGTGTGCTCCAGGGCTCGCTGTGAGCTGAAATGAAATTAAAGCTCTGGCGCAAGATGCGAAAAATGTGAATTTTCAATTAATTATAAATATATCAGAGCCTGACAATGGGGCTGACATTGCAGTTGAACCAAACAATTTCTCAGCTCAATTACAGTTGCATGCAAAAATGCTCAAAGTTTTTTCGAACTGGAATTGATAGAAAATCGATGGGAAGTATGGACATTGGGATGGGGTAGATAGACAGATAGATAGATAGGTAGCTCAGATAGAAAGCTAATATTTATGTAAGATATCTAAAGATAGGTAAGATATTTCTCATATAATAATGATGATGCATAAGCAATGGGATTATCATAGGGCTAACATTTTGCTTATAAAATAGTAATACAGTAACATTCCGGTAATTAGAAATGGCAAGGAGATCACTTTTTTTCGATTTGTACAGAAATTCAAGCTATCGAAAATTGTTGAGAACGAATTTTTCTCAAGGGGAAAGAATTTTTTTCAATTTATCACGATTTTCAATTTAGCGGGCTACAAATTGTTGAGACTCGACTCTATTTATATAAGAATAATACACAGTGGAATCCAATTATAACGACACTGAAGCGATCGTCGTAATATCCGGAAGGTGCTAAACCCTTATAAGTTTGCTCATAAAAGATTGGCTTGGCGCTATAAGCGGAGTCGTTATAACCGGATTCTACTGTAGTAATATATGTGTTCACACAACTCTTTCTCTCTTTCTCTCTTTCTCTTACTCTTTCTCCCTATCTTCCTCAATTTGTGTCATAAACTGCCTTTCTCTCCCTCTCGCCCTTTCTCTATTGGCCTGTCTACCACTCCATCGCTCTATTTCGGTCTCTTTATCTGTCACTCTCTCTTTACCTCTTCCTTCATCGCGATCTCTCTCTTTCTCTCTATCTCTATCGGTCTTTTTCTCCCTTTATCATTCCACCTCTCCATCGTCTATCTCCATCTCTAGCTCTTTCTCCTTCACATCTATCTATCTCTCCATCTTTCTCTCTGTTTTTTCTCTATTTATATATATATATTTATCTATATTTTTCTCACTCTATCCAGTCCTCCACCTCTCTCTTTTGCTATCTCTATCTCTCCTCTCTGCCTTTCTCTCTGCTTCTTTCTGTCTTTTTGTATCTAATGCTTCATCTCTCTCTCTCTCTCTCTCTTTCTCTCTCTCTGACTGTTTAGTATACTCTACCTCTATTCTTCCCTCTCTATCTCCCTCTCTCTCTCTCGGTCTCTCTCTCTCTCTCTCTTTTGATACATATGCATTACTTGTACTTCATGAAAATCGCACAGAAAGGCAATTCGATAGAATTTCTCAGCCGGAACCCGACGCTCTAAGCAGGTCTTTCGCTCTCTGTTCACATCTGATGCTACGCATTGAAATTTTGTACCTTAAATGCCTGTACCCCATACCTGTCCATGCCTAATTAAACGTGAAAAACCTTGAACTTTGAACTCAAAATGAAAAGAATAAGAGCAAGAACAAGGCGAAAAGGGAAAGATAAGCAGAAAATCAAACATATACACATACACATGTACACACAGATATCGGAGAGCGAAAAGCGGAGGGCCGCAAATCGAAGGCAGGAAGTGAAATATTTGCGTTGACAATGCTCGCAATATGTTTTTACATGTGTTCGGGGCTGTTTTTCGTCGTGTAGGTAACCCCTACACCAACACCCCCCCCCCCCCCCCCCATGTCCTCCCACATCACCCACATCTCCCACGTCTCTCGATACGGTTCAAGTAGGTGCTGCTGTTGTTGTTTCAAATGGTGTTATTCTTACTGTAACAATTGTACGTAAACGCAATTTCAATTGCTGGCTAAAGATGCTTCCACACGATGATGATGATGATGATGATGATAATGACGAAGATGACTCCCCCACTTGAATAGTACATGCGAGCATTGCAGCTGGAGTGTGAATCATTTCCGTTTGAATTTGGTTCATTGCATGATTTTCACATTAAACGCGAGCAAATGGAAAAGGCAAAGAGAGTGACAGAGTGACAGAGAGCAAGAGAGGGAGAGTGGGAGAGTGGGAGAGAGATAGAGAGCTTGTAGGGCACTCAGTTCAAGCTCCTTGAGCTCCTACCAAGCTACGCTTGACTACACAGGCTGTCTGTCTCTCTGTCCGTTCGTCCGTCCGTCCCTCTGTCTGTCTGTCTGTCTGTCCATTCGTCTGTCTTTCTGCGCCAGAAACGGGTCGCGCTCTCTTCAGCTTGATTGTGTTTTCCTTAACTTATTTTCGAGCGCAATTATTGACGTGTGCCCCTCCAACAATAATAACAATGACAACAGCAGCAGCGGCAGCAGCAGCGACAGCGGCAGTGGCAGTGGCAGCCATAGTAATAATACCAAATGATGTTGCCTGATGATAATGACAATGATAATGATGTTAAAGTTTTCTGTATTGATATTTTAGCTGTATTTCTTGGCGCACTACGAAAGCAAATGCTTTGCGCTCGAACGGCTTGAACAGCTTTATAATTGGCCTGGCTCTGGCGGAAAAGGAAGCGCTCATCAAGTCCCTTAACAACAACATTTACACACACATGCACACGCACACACATGCACATGTACACACCCTCACATATTTATAACAAGTAAGAACGTTGCAGTCGGGCGTTACCGACTGCGGAATACTCATTCACATCCCATCAACAATTTAGTAGTTAAGTTTCGTTCTAAT